TGATTTACAAATAAGGAATCCTACTTCGCGGAATTTCATTTATCTCGGTAGGGTCTAGAACCAATTAACCGCGATAAACGAGGGTTCACTGTACTGGCTTTTATGTTGCTCAATTCAAAAGAAACACAGATATGACCAAGTTATCAAATTGAAATAATGGAAATTATGACATAACACCATGTGTTTGTTGACTAATATTAGGCAAACATAGAAGAGGAAATACTAACACAAATTTTAATACAAAAGAGAATCAGGCATGTTTCTTATGAATATAGGACCTACTGAGGTGAAGTGAAATTGTTTAAAAACGGTTCTTCTATTTCTCTTTAACTCGCTCCAAATTACTGGATGGAATTATGAAAATGTGTTAGATGCCAAGGAGTCAGTTCCAACTCATAGTAACCCTTTGCACAACAGAACAAAATACTCCCCAGTCCTGCACCATACTCACAATTGTTATTTTTAAACCCATTATTGCAGCTAATAATTCTTGCCAAGGGGTCTTCCCCATTTTCGCTGCCCCTGCCATTATAATTTTATTGGGGAATATTATAAATCATCCCCCATGGAGCATATGGTAATTCTATTGATCTCACTCAGCCATCGAATCAATGCTGGCACAGTGACCCCGTGGGTTTCTGAGACTGTAAGTGTTCACGGGAGTAAAAAGACTAGTCTTTCTCCCCCAGAGCTGCTGGTGGTTTCAAATGGCTAACCATGCGGATCGCAGCCCAATGTGTGACCACTACACTACCAGGGCTGCCAATTCTATTGATAGTATCGACAGTACCATTGATACGATATAGAACTTAAAACGCTGTTGAGAAAAGCAAAGTATATATGTATAGGACAGCTTTTTAGACTAAAATGCATGGATTGTTAACTTGTACAGATTATAAATTTAAGTACCTGGACATTATTACACAATGAGAACTGGAGATAGAGTAAAACTTTTAATAACACTCATTCACTAAGGTAGAACTATGGCTGCTGGACTACGACATGTCCATGTAGAAGAGGAATGTTTGGAAACTGATTGTGGTAGCAAATGTACAATTCTGCTGGGCATGACTGAACTATGGAGTGATAAATGTATTCATTCCCATTAGTAAATTAAAACCACCACCACCAAACTCACTGCCATCAAGTATTATGACTCATACCAATCCTATAGAACAGAGAACTATCCCTGTGGATTTCTGATACTGTCTAAGACCTGTGAAATCAAAACCAGCTAATACCACACGCCTCACCAAAGAGAAGCAGTACCAGCCATTGTTGTTAGTGACTGTCAAGTTGGTTCTGACTCACGAAGATAATGACAACAAGAGTGAAACATTGCCTGGGCCTGCGCCATCCTCATATTGTTCTTGTTTGAGCCCTTTGTCAATCCATCTAGTCCAGGGCTTTTCTTTTTCTACTTTACCATCACATTCCACCAACACCCCACCCAGCAAAAAGCCAAACTCACTGCCTTTCGGCCCACGCCAACTCATAATACACAGGGTAGAATTGACCCTGTGGGTTTCTGAAACTGTAACTCTTTACAGTAGAAAGTCTCAGTGGTTTGACCAATATGGCCTGCGAATATTATAAATATCCACTTGGCCCTTGGCAGAAAAAAGGTTCCCCACCCCTGCTGTAAACTCTAGGAAAGTATAATTCTATTTGAATAAAATTTCTGAATTACCGGAATAAGGCTGGTAATTTGCATTTTTTTCCCTGTCCTTTGCATCTTGTAACAGCTTTTTTGGTCTGGTTGGGTTTTGTAAAAGTTAATAAAATGTCTCTAACCTTGACACTTGGCAATTTAAAAAAATTGCATTTAACTTTGCCATTTATGAGCTCCACCAACCTAGGAAGTTCAAAAGTTGGTGGTTGATAAGTCACATAATTAATCCCAGATGATTACAAGTGGTATTATCTCCAGGACTTAATGTTCAGAACATCTCTTTCACTCCCCACATCTCAACAGATTTTTAAGCAGGATGATTTTTAAAATAAAAATTTATTGATTAATGACAAACCATAATAAACATAAATAATAATGAACACAGAATTACAAGAAACCCCATCCCCATATAACACCAACGATGTACATTCTTACTGTCATTTAAAACATGGTCTTACCCAGTGTGAACAGCAATTTATGCTTTACAATTTTTGCTCATCAAAAAATGAAGGATTTTCTTACCTACTCGGTGAATTTTTGTTACTTTTCCTGGGATCTCCATTTGGGGAAGAAAATCTTGAACTTAGATTAATTATGTGTATATTGTTCTGCTGGAAATGACTGCAAAACCTTGGAACTCCATCTTTATAGTCAACAGGGGCTCTTTACTAATTTTTATTAAGGGCGTTTATTAGTGTCTGGCTTTTTAAAAGAGATAAAGGATTTCACATTTTACCACATTTTGGAGCCGAGTTACCTATTAATTTAGGATTTACTAACCCAACGACGTACGGAAAATTCCTTTTCTTTCTCCCATCAAAATTCTTTTTATTTCAACCATCTACCTGCCCTGGGATGTTTAGTAGTCACAGTGAATCACTAAGAGGAAAGAAAACTGGGGCCCTAAAAGTGGGGAGAAAATAATATTTTCATTGTCCTCAAAGAAAATGTAAGTGATTTTTAAGACTATTTCTACTGTATTAGCATCATAGCACCTATTTCTTTACCCTTAAGTGCCCAAGTAGTTGTTTCTAACTATTCAGAAACTTATAGGGCTTAAAAGATTAGGATTTTTATTTTTACTACTCATCTGACTACAATAAAAGGAGGTCATGAACTCGTGGTAGCTAATGAACGTTAGTTTATTCATTGGACATCAGTCAAAAAGGACTGATGGGTTTTTGTAGGAAAATATTTGCATGTCAGTGCTCTTGATTTGTTCATCCAGCCTTTAGCTATTTATATTTAGCTTAAGAAGGCATTAGGATAACACAGTAGAACCTTGAAGCTATGGTTCCTTTCAAGACAACTGCTAGTCAAATTGTCATTAGATCGTCAATGACCTCGATTTGGAGTATTAGTGTTCCCTTAGAACAGGAGTTCTGAAAGGGGAAAGCTTCATTTTCAATGTCTAAATATGCTTTCTGTGTGACTATATCTAAATCAACATAGCAAAGTCTGAAGATTGATGGTATAAGTCCTACTCATAATCAGCATCCTGACTTGGAGATGATCAGGGTACAGTTCCTCAGCTGTTTTAATCAAGTTTTTCTTCTTAAGAGTGTAAAATGAAGTACTTTATCCAGCAAAATTTTGTTGTAAATGTTTACATCAGAGTAGAAAATCCCTCAATTTCAATGTCTCTCATGAAGTTATCTTTGTATTCTTTTGCTTTGCATATAAGCAATATGCTATTACATTCTCTAAGCCTATGTCAGGCTTTTAATTCACCTGACCACAATCCTAACCCAGGGATAGGATTCCGAGAATATATAGGCTCAAGAGTAGTTCCTGTAGAACTTGACTATTAAGGCAAATCTCAACCTTTTGAGGTTGGTCTGATGGAGAGAACCCACGTTTCCCTTTAATGCCACTATAAGAGAGAGAATACTAGGCTGAAGACCCATAGGGTAGAGCCAGTGGCACTATTTATGCACATACCTGTCTACAAGGAAGTAGGCAGGGGCAGACTTAATGCATAATCTGGTTGTTTGTGTTTTACATTTGGTCCTCTTAAAATAAATGAGAAGAATCTAGACATTTTAAGGTTTGCTAATGTTTTCCCATAATATATATGGTTGTAGGGTAAATTGTAAATAATTACCTGGAAGATAGGGTGAAATGTACTTTGTTCATTTATTTAATTCAATTTTTATTTCCTCTTGAACATGTAAAACTTTTTGTTATTTTAAAGAACAGACGAGTGATGTCAATAGTCTCTTATGTGTTGGCACACACTGAAACCAGTGCTAACACGTCTTTGCCTTAACCCTGACCTGAATTAACTATGTGTGTGACTAGATCTACTACTGACATAAAAATGTACTTTGATATTTGGATTTTTCTAAACTAAACACACTGCTCGGCTAGGCTCTTTACTTTGTTGGCCTTTTGACCATTTCACATCTCCAGAGCACTCACTATTTTTTTCCCAGTAGACTCCTAAGGAAGTTCTAGCAAGTCCTCAAAGGGCAGAGCCTTATTCCTGCTGAAAACAACTAAACAAAAGCTAGAAAACACGGCTTCTGAGAAACTCTCAAATTCTTTCATCAAGAAAAATAAATGATTAATGTAAAAGTAAGAGCAGAGCTATGTCAATATAACATTAAGAGTACCATACTGTGGTAAGGGTAGAAAACAAAAGTTTCTCCCTTGGTCTTCACAGCTTTTTAACAGCAAAAAGGTCATGTGCATCAATTTGCAGTGTACTAAAATTGTGTTCAAAGTTTATTTCAAGTCACAGAAAATATACAAAGTAAGACAACAGAAATGAAGTGATTTTGTTCTGAGAGAAGGTGATGAGAATCTTCCACCTGGCACCAATTTGAGGCATTCAAGGGTTAGGATGCAGAAGCCATCTTTTCAACATTTCAGCAAAGTTATGGAATTATTTTCCACATTTGTGGCCAGGTATTTGAAAACCTGTAAAAAGCCAGGAGAGAGTCATTAGGAGTGGTGACAAAGTTCTCTTTTCCAAATTTGAGGAAAAATAAAGAAATAAAAAGGCTGGGAGGAGGGTGTGCGAAAGAACACTCCAAATCACCAGGGCCAGGTTTCCAAGATCTCTGCTTTCTGTCTTCCACAAGCAATCATCCCATACAGCAAGCAGGCAACCTGAGCACCACTGACATTTGGGGCTAAATAACTGTTTGGTGTGTGCAGAAGTCCTATGCACAATAGAATGTTTAGCAGTATGTCTGGACTCACTAATAGCAGTAATACACCCCACCCTGCTCTATTTCTGATAACTAAGAAATGTCCTTAGACACTGCCAAATGTTCTGGGGTGGAAGGGGGAGTGACGATGCTGCCGCTGACTGAGAGCTACTGATCTAATGAGAATGATACATTAGTCTGTCAATGATGGCCGAGATGAACCATAACTAGCTAGACATAGGATGAAGGAAGAGCCAACATTTTGGCCACAATATGCAAAAAGTACTAGCAAATACACAAAACCGTGGCCACTAAAAACCTGCAATAAACCATACACAGACAAATGAGTACAGTTTGTTTAAAAAATGGTAAAAACGGAATGGGGACTTTGGTCGAGTTAGCAGTCATGTAACTTTGATACTGTACACAGCTATTCAAGGTATCACTGCTGCGGAAGGGTACACAAGACCCTGCAACTTCCAGTAAACCTGAGTTCAAAACCCCAAAGCAACAGACATACATAAAACCTTTGCCTGTGGTTAATGTGCAAGACTGAGACAAGCAATTATTTTATAAGCAAGAATACTTCATGGGAGAACCTCCAGCAATACCAGGGGGCTTCAAGAAATTCATGGAAAGTGGAATTAAAGGATAATATAATTTTCCCATGGATGTTTTGAAGGTCCCTAATACACGACCACTCTTACCCAAACACAGTAATGACTGTTGCACATTGTAAGAATGCTTACATAAATAAACTAGAAGTAGAAGAGAGGAAAGGTTTATTTATTCATCTGAGTTCGATAGCATGCATGTAGTGAAGAAAACAGAGCCCTGGGTTGTCTGGAATGAAGTGTTCAAATAGTAGTCTGATCAAAGGCATAGCCAGCCAGCCATCTATGCCTGCTTCCCAAAGTATGGTCATTTCCTGTCTACATTCAGATGTCTTAATGACAGTCACACAATAAACAACAATGTGCCATTTTAACCATTTAAAAATGCGTATTACAGGAACATTCATTATAGTCATGATGTCGTTTACCAGTCACCACTATCTGTTTCCAAAACTTTGTCATCACCCCAAATAAAAGCTCTGTACTCACTATGCACTGACTCCCTGTTTTCTGAAATGGCAGTTCAGAATACAATTTAAGACTGATAATATGTGCAAATAAGTTCACTATTAAATAATAACATGTGGGTGGATAGGAAAATATGATGGATGGAAAAAAGTAGAAATTCAACAGGTAATTATTCCAGTTGACACTGGAAAAATGTGAACTATAAACAGTTTCTATAACATGGAATTGTTTCTGAAACACAAAGATACTCGGGGGTGTGTGTGTGCATATTTAAAAGACAACTTGTAATCATTAGGTCACATGATTCTTTCCAAAACAGGTTATCTGGATCCTATTTACCTGATTAATGAGCAAGAAAAATTAGGAGTGGCAATGTACCGCAATGTCTAGAATGTATAGAAACTGGTAGTGACAGTGGATAATTGCTACCTTATATAGTTTAACATCAAAATGTTCAATATAAAACAAATACTGGGAATGAAAATATTGGTACACTTTATTTACATGCTTTGTATTTTCCATATATGAGACAATAAAATGATAGAACAATACAATGAATACTGGAAGGTTATACACCAAACTATTCAGAGGCAATGTCCGAAGAATGAGACTGAGAAAGCTGAGCCTTTTAACTGTCTCCATTTCTGGATTTCAGAAATTTGGTTACATTGGTTATTTCTTATGTTTGTCACTTAGAAGAAAAATGAACAAACCACAGCCATTAAGACGATTTTGGCCCATGACGACTCTAGGACAGAGTAGAACTGCATCACTGCGTTTCCAAGGCTGTACATCTTTATAGGAGCAGACAGCCTCATCTTACTCCCATGGAGTGGTTGGTGGGTTCGAAAAACAGACCGTGCAATTAGCAGTCCAACATATATAACCAACTATACCCTACAGTTAAAATCAGATTATTCTGAATTCAACAAATGAAAGAATGTTCTATGGCCTGAACTTATCCTTATAGGAAAAAGGGTTTGTATGATGAATAAGGACCTTAGAGAAAATAATCTTGTTGGGTCAAGCTGAAAGCATATACCCATAATGCGCAAGCAATATGTCTGCCTCCGGTGTGATCAAGTGTACTCACCAACCTCTCAAGGTGCACCAGTGGACTTCTGTATCTGTTCTTTTAAGATCAAGATACTCTGCCTTTGCTCAGGAGGCAGCATGGCAATCTGGTCTGCAGTTAACTGAAGAACCTGCATAATTAAGGCAGCCTGTGTAGAACAAAGGTAATGTGCTTTAATAATAATAGCTTAAAAATAAACAAACAAACAAACAAACACACTACCAGCTTCTGCCCCAAATGCTACTGTAGTGAGATGCCGAACAAAATGGGGAATGGAGGTATTTCACACCCAGAAAAAACAGCCACCAAAAAGCAGCTAGTGAGAAAAGACATAGTGAGAACGTGTACAAATGAAAATGCCTAAGATTAGATGTGAAACATACATCTTCATGAACCCAAAGTTCCTGTAGACCAGTGGTTCTCAACCTGTGGGTCACGACCCCTTCTGGGGGTTGAACGACCCTTTCAGGGGTCGCCTGATGCATAACAGTAGCAAAAAGAGAGTTATGAAGTAGCATTGAAAATAATTTTATGGTTGGGGGTCACCACAACATGAGGAACTGTAGTAAAGGGTTGTGGCATTAGGAAGGTTGAAAACCACTGCTATAGACTAATATGGTTATCATGGAACCCCAGAAAATGACTTTAATCCCTCTTTGAAAGTCTCCCTTATCCAAGTTTTTCCATTAGACAGCAAGCTCCCCATAAAGTCAGAACAAAACCAGAAAGATATGTGAGATATGGGGATTCGATGAATATTGTTGAGGGTCAAAGAAAGAGGCCTTGGCCTCTTGGCTCAGTGGGGCTGGCATATCCAGGAAAAAGTGGGAAGGGGCACAGAAGTGTGAAATGTTGAGTAAGCTGCCGTTGACAGCCAGCAGATAAGTATAGGAGCAGGCCCACAGCTTTCATGTAAGCAGATGACAAGAGTTCTGCAGTTGTAGTTAAGGCACACTTCCAAAGGAATTCTGAGGACCCAGCACCCTCCACATGGCAAGCATGAAAAACAGAGACTGAATCATGCTGCTTACCTTCTCATGATCCTGTGGAGTGACTTGATTCTGCCCAGGACTGAAACCACCAGGCTGGGCGCCACTCTGCATGCCTGCTCCTTGCATGCCAGCGCCCTGCATGCCTGCCCCTTGCATGCCTGCTCCCTGCATGCCGGCTCCTTGCATGCCGGCTGCCTGCATGCCGGCTCCCTGCATGCCGGCTCCTTGCATGCCTCCTCCTTGCATGCCTCCTCCTTGCATGCCGGCTCCCTGCATGCCTCCTCCTTGCATGCCAGCTCCCTGCATGCCTGCTCCCTGCATGACTGGGACCTACGTGTACAGAGAAAGGCGATGAGAGATTTTTCTGAACTTCTCACATATGGGTAACCACAATCCAGTGTTAGCAATGTACCAAATAATAGCTGCATATGGATATGGAAGGAAAAAATACAACCAACAAATTTATGACTTTGGAGATTATTTCCAATTAGCAATGACAGAGGGTAGGCTTTAACCAGAGATTAACAAGCAAGTTTAGACACACCTACTTACAACAGCTTCAGCTTTATGAGCAAATATCATATAGCACATTGGATTATCAAATCAAGCAAAAGTCAGCCAAACAAGCAGAGGGAAAACCGGGAACACTCTGGAAACTTGTTCTCAATGGAAATCCTAAAGAAAACCACCAGATTCTAAGAGATAATGGAGGCTGGTCCACTAGGGAAACTACATTCCCAGGGATACTGCCAACCTCGTATTCAATCAGCCATGGGTAGTGTGTCTCAAAGGGCCCTATCCCACAAGTGAGGCAGAGGTGATCACAATGCTGAGAGGTAGAAAGGAAATGGGAAAGTGTCTGGGGAAAAGATTACTATTAGCCCAATATTTACTTTTTATAACTTTTCACAAAAAAACATGTTGCAAATCTATTTCACTAGAGACCAAGAAACATGACTGCCTCCAGTTAAAAAGAGCAGAGTTCAATTACACTCATGCTTGACTTCAAACAAAATCCTTAAAGCATCACTTGAAAAACAATAGAGAATAGGGTCGTCACATACAAGAAAAATCCAATTTCATATAAAGTGGGGTGAATAAAGACACACACACAGACACACACATACTACAGATAACAGGACAAAAAAGTTCAGTGAAAAAATTGTAGGCTCTGTTCTTTGGCTTAGGAGCCCTAGTGGACTGCTAACAGCCAGGTCAGCAGTTTGAAACTACCAGTTGCTCTAAGGGAGAAAAACCAGACTTTCTACTCCTGTAAAGAATTAGTCTCAGAAATGCACAAAGGCATTTCTACCCTGTCCTATAGGGTCGCTATAAGTTAAAATTGACTTGATAGCAGTGAGTCATTTTCCTTGATTTGCTCCTTTTTAATGTGAACTTGGAATGCGGTGCTGTTAGGTTATGTTCTCGACTGCTAACTACAAGATCAGAAAGAGGGATAGACTTCAACCTGGTGCTCCTAGACGTGAATGTAACATAACAAAATGAAGTAGAGAACCAATAGAGCGGCCTGAGGGGCGGCCCCAATCCCAAATATGTGGACAGCCTCCCTTCCCCCCAGAAGAATTCACTTCAGAGGACAGCACTGAAGCTAAAGCTCAGGGAGAGGGATGTGTCTGATCAGAACACACAGGAGCAAACAAAGGGGAAAAGAGAGAGTGGAGCATATCCTGGCCGACCAAGTCCTGAGGATGATATCCCTGCTCGGAGTAGCCAATGCATACGGCTGGCCCCACCAAGAGACACGATGTCCCTCATTGACCCATAGCACTATGGGGGACAATGCTGGCAGCAGAGCAATGAAGTCCCTGGGGAATACCAAAAATACTGTGGGGCCAGGGTGTGGCACCCCATGAGACATGACCAGAAAATACTTGTAAAGGTCAACAAACAAACCTTGAACTATTTATAAGGTTTTCTTTTTTTTGTCTTCGGGTTTTTTTTCCAGTGTTCTTTTCTTCTGTTGCTTTGTTTTGCTCTGTCTTGTTTTTGTGGATATTATTATCTCTGCAGGTCTATCTAGATAAGATAGGCGGGATAAACAATCTGGAGGAGAAAACAATGGGAACCATGGTTCCAGGGGGACATGGGAGAGGGGGAGAGGGGGGAAAGGAAGTGGGTGTTAACAACCCCAGGGACAAAGGAACAACAAATGATCCAAAATCCATGGCGAGGAGGGTGTAGGAGGCCTGGCAGGGCTTGATCAAGGGCAATGTAACCGAGAGGAATTACTAAAACTCAAATGAAGGCTGAACATGATTGTGGGACAAGAAAAAAGTAAAAGAAAATAGAAGAACTAGGAGGCAAAGGGCATTTATAGAGGTCTAAATACAGGCATATAGACATATAAATATATTTAAATATTTCAATGGGAGAACAGATCTATGTACATATATTTATAGGTTTAGTATTAAAATAGCAGATGGACATTGAGCCTCTATTCAAGTAGTCCCTCAACACAAGAACACTTTGTTGTATTTTTTTTCCAGTTTTTTCTATTAACCTAGCATTTCATGACGCTCACCTTCCTGACACGATCGCTGAGACAAGACAAAACAGGTGCATAAGCAAATGGTGAAGGATGCTGATGGTGCCCAACTATTAAAAGATATAGCGTCTGGGGTCTTAAAGCCTTGAAGATAAATAAGCGGCCATCTAGCTGAAAGCAACAAAACCCACACTGAAGAAGCACACCAGCCTGTGTGATCATGAAGTGTCGAAGGGATCAGCTATCAGGCATCAAAGACCCAGAACAAAAAACCATATCATTGTGAATGACGGGGAGTGCGGAGTGGAGACTCAAAGCCCATCTGTAGGCAACTGGACATCTCCTTAAAAAAGGGTTGTGGGGAAGAGACGAGCCAGTCAGGGTGCAGTGTAGCACCGATGAAACATACAACTTTACTCTAGTTCTTGAATGCTTCCCCCCCGGCCCACTATCATGACCCCAATTTTACCTTTCAAATCCAGCTAGACCATAGCACGTGCACGGGTATAGATAAGAGCTGGAAACATAGGGAATCCAGGACAGATCAACCCCTCAGGACTAATATTGAGCGTATCCATACCAGGAACGTAAGGGGAAGGAAGGTCAGGGGAGAAAGGGGGAACCAATCACAATGATCTACATAACCCCTTCCCAGGGGGATGGACAACAAAAAGTGGGTGAGGGGAGGCATCGGTCAATGTAAGACATGAAAAAAATAATAATTTATAAATTATCAAGGGTTTACGAAGGAGGGAGGGGGGAAAATGAGAAGCTGATACCAAGGGCTCAAGTAGAATGCAAATGTTTTGAGAATGATGATGGCAACAAATGTACAAATGTGCTTGATACAATGTACATATGTATGGATTGTGATAAGAGTTGTACGAGCCCCCAATAAAATGATTAAAAATAAACAAACAAAAAACAAACCCCACCAGCCGCTCTGTGGGATTAAGTTGAGGATGTCTGCTCCCATAAAGAATTATAGGCTCAAAAAACTCTAATAGGGGCTGCTATGAGTTGGAGTGGACTCAATGGCAGTGGAGTTGGTTTGGTTTCTTTGAACTTGTACAAATCATCTGAGTTTTTTGGCCTAATTTTCATGTTCCACTTCAGGTCTGATATGCGAAATTAATCTCTCTCTCTCTCTTACACACACACACACACACACACTTGGGGAAAAATAAGCATAAATAGAGGGGAGAAGGAAAAAAGGCAGAAATTATATACTAGACATAGAAACAGGGGCAGTGGAGGGGCTAGAGGGAAATGAAGGAGTTAGCAGCATCTAAGAACTCAAGTAAGATACACATATACCACCTTCCCACAACCAACTTAGGGGGAAGAGGGAGGGGATGACAATCCAATCCAAGGCTAGACCACATTCTGAGTGGGAAAGGGCCAAGTACAGATAAGAGAGAGACAAGAGTTCAATTCCATTGTTTTAAGATGAGCACTAGCAAACTGCAATTTAGAGTCCACCGTTCAATCAGGCTGTGATATTAGTAAATGAACATAGGTTTCTGCAAACCTAAATTTGTCTAAATGACCAATCACAGCTCTTCGCATGCTCTAATCCAGCGGGGTCTCAATTAGTATACATAAGAATCATGGGGGGTGGGGGAGAGTTTACACCTATGGGTAGCTTTAAAAGGGTTTTTAAAATTACGTTCGAGGTGAGGTCCAGGCAAGTATTTGGGGGAACATATCTGATGTGAACGTATGTCTCTATAGCTTTTTGTTTCCAACCTATTTAGTCTTATAGAGGAACTCTAGTGGTTGTAGGGTTGGCTAGCTAGCCATAAGGTCGGCGATTCAAACCCACCAATGGCTCCATGGCAGAAAGATGAGGCTTTCTAATCACATGAATAATTATAGTTTTGGAAATCCTAAGGAACAATTCTGCTCTTACAGGGTCACTGAGGCGGAACTGACTTGATGGCAATGGGTTTATTTGTTTTTTTTGGCATATGCGTGGGAGGGTGAGTGGGTGTGTTTTATTATCTTGTTAGCATCACTACACTGTTGTTTTTCTCAGTTTTTGCTTTTACTGAGCTCCTAGTTTGTCCTTTGCTTACATTGTTCTGTTATAAAATTTAACTTTTTATCATATATGACTATATGGGGCAACAAAGAATGGAATCTTTACTGAATTTATGGCATATAGTTACTCTTTTGGATTATAGTCTTAGTGGCTGGAAAATGACCGTGCTAAGTGACCGGAAAATTAAGGTTAAGAAATGCTAGGTTTTTCTTTGTAAAAAGCTTAAGACACAGCCAAATCAGATCATTGGACTCAATATCCAATTTTTGAATAGATGAGATTTCATATAGAAGTTAAAGGTCAGTGTCATATATACCTGTCTCGGTCCCTGAGGACCAACAGCCCCCATGTTCATTGGCCCAGGACCCTGGATTCCACCAGGCATAGGGCCTCTAGGCCCAGGGACTGGGCCCCTTGGGTCCAGGCCTCTGGCTTCCATTCCTCTGACTTCCATCACACGGGCCTCCATCACTCGGGCCTCCATCGCACGGGCCTCCATCGCTCGGGCCTCCATCGCTCGGGCCTCCATCGCTCGGGCCTCCATTGCACGAGGGTCTAATCCTCTAGCTTCCATGGCTCGTGCTTCCATCGCTCGAGCATCCATCCCTCGGGGATCCCTTACACCTACAGAGGAAGTTGTAGGAAAACTATTATAATGCCACTCACCTTTACTAATAGGTTAAGAAAGGTAGAAATCTATTCCTCCAGTCACATCTCCACCTAACCATGACAAGGTTTCTCAGATATGCCAATAAACCCTCGAAATCCTTGCCAACCCTACAAGGGGGCTTCAGAAAGTTTTGGAAAAATGGAATTAAGAGATAACAGACCATTTCCATGAACTTTTGGAAGCCTGCTTATATTTCCCCAGCACTTTTCACCTTAGAATCTAGGACAGTTAGGGTCATTACCCACATTATACCAGTTAGCCTTGTGAAGGGGACTCTTACCTCTGCCATCTAAGGGAGGACCCCTCTGATCCATCATAGGTCCTCTCGGCTCCGCCATTAAAGGTCTGGGGTCTGTTAATGGACCGCCTCTCATCTCGTGTGGGGGTGGGCCTCGGGTATCGTGGCCAGGGACATGGTGCATGGGTGGACCTTGATGGGGTGGTCCCATGTAACCTCTAGGGATGGAGAAAAAGGTTTTATTTTAAAAGAGAACAATGCAAAGGGAGTAAACCAGGAGGGTAGTTAAGTACAACCAAAGAATTGATGCTAACAAAATAATAAAACCAAACAGGTTGAAGAAAAGCTGTAGAGACATACATTCACAGAATCTATAATTTCCTACTTGGTAGGGGCACTCATAATTAGGGGAAAATTAATGCATAGCTATCTATCTATAAATAAAGCAATACATTATAGGGAGAAAGAATATTGGTTCTAGATTCAGATTGTATAGTTTCAAATCTACGTTTGATCACTCATAGCTATGTGATCTTGGGCACATCTACTTCATGCCTCAGTGGCTTCATCTGTAAAATAGGACGAATAGTAAACCATACCTCAAAGCTTTGTTGTGTGATTTAAGTCAGTGGTTTACAACCTGTGGGTCGCGACCTCTTTGGGGGTCAAACGACCCTTTTACAGGGGTCACCAGATTCATAACAGTAGCAAAATTACAGTTATAAAGTAGCAATGAAAATAACTGTATGGTTGGGGGGTCACCACAACATGAGGAACTGTAATAAAGGGTCATAGCATTAGGAAGGTTGAGAACCATTAATCTAAGCACTTAAAGTAGCATCACAGGCACATACATACTCTATTAATGCCAATTATGATTACTGCTATTAGCATTACTACTGTTAAATAACACACATTTTCTCACATAGGTATCTGTGTTAGACTTTCTGAGGACACAGTCAGTTCTGCCCTCGAGGTGCTTAGTGATCTTATTGATCTTTTGAAGTGGGCCAACAGGTACGACTGGTAACGAAAGGCTTCATTTCAAAGCAAGGGAATGCTCAAACTTTTCCAATCTTTTCCTTCTACTTTAGTGCTCACCTAGGCTCAACCTCTCCTGTTACAGTAAGTAAAGTGCCTCCACGTGGGTCATTTGGAGCATCTCCTAACAGACCTCGAGGAGTTGGAACATTGGCGGGCATAGGTCCTCGTTGCATAGCTGCTCTGGGGTCTTGCATCGGCACTGACAGGGAAACAAACAGTAAGTTACTGCTGTGAAGGGCACATGAGGAAACAAGAAATGACCAGTCATACACCACTGACAATAGAACCCGGACACCTGAGAGTGGGTGAAGCCTCACCACAACAGAATCTTCTTGCGGCTCAAGAACAGAAGCAGGGTGCAGGCAGAATTTGTACCATGTCCGAGGTATGGATGGAATTATACAAAGAGAAAACTGAGGTGCAACCTGCCAAAGATTAGCACTGCAATTTGAAGACTTAGGCTCTTGATTTTCTTTACAATCAATCTTACTGTTCAAGGGCCAAAATCACAAAATAGGTAGGGTCTTGGCATATGTGAACAGTCTACTATTCCATCCAAGCCTCTTGACATCGGAAGGGAGAGAGTACAGCCTCAGACAGATGCCCATTATCATCCATGGTCTCTGCCCTGTGTAAAGAGGTCAATCTTAGGCTTGTGACCCCAATAGGAAAAAAATGAGGGAAAAAACCCCCAAACACTATACTCTTTTGAGTTTTGAACCTGAGAATGACTGCCAGGCAGCTCTCTTTTTTCCTCAAATGTCCCACCCTGAACACCACAAGCAAAAGGAAACTCGTAGATACAATGGGTACCTTGAACTCGCTCAATTGATGCAGGCCCGGCGGGTCCCACGGGCGAGTGCTGTAAGGTTCCTAGGTAAGCAGTAAGTTCAAAAGGAGAAACAGCAGGCACTTAAAATAGCTTGCATGCATATGCAGAAATATACATGAACAGGGACTGGAGATTTATACTTGTCCGTTAAATAGTCAAGAGTTCATTAGCATGCTCCAGGCTACCAAATCTTCCTAAACAATATCAGTTCCTTTGGATCTTTGAAACCTAGCTCCACTTTGACAAAATAGCTTCCAGGATAAAACTTGAAGGCCAATGATTTATTGGGCAGAAACAGCAGCTTTTGTCAATTTTCACATCTGCTATGATTGTTTGCCCCCACGTTTCCTTGCGACACCATTAAGCATATATGTAAGTAAAATTAAAGGATGGTTTTGAATTTCTATATTCAAACTATCCCTGTTACCCATTCTAAAAACTTACAGCCATCAAGTCAATGCTGATTCATAATGACCCCCTATGGGTTTCTGAGACTGTAATTGATTACGGGAGTAGAAAGCCCAGTTTTTCCTCCTGTGGAGCAGCTGGAGGTTTGGAACTGCCAAGCATATTGTTGTTGCTGGACCTTAAAGGCTTGTCTTCAATTGAGGAATTCAGTGGTCTCATGTTGATCCATAAGATTTCCAGGAAAAGTTAAGAAAAATAGTACAAATTAAAAGGTGTTTACTTCCCTTGCTGAGTACTGAAAGGAGACCTAGTAGTGCAGTGACTGACTTGGGCTGCTAACTGCTAGGTCAGCTGTTCAAAACCACGAACCTCTGTGGGAGAAAGATGGGGCTTTCTACTCCCACTAAGAGTTAGCAGTCTCAGAAACTCAACAGGGTAGATCTACCCTAAAATGTGCAGTCACTATGAGTCGACATCTACTCAGTGGCAGTGAGTTTTGTTTTGGTGGGAGGAAAAACTTTATCTCATCTTGTCTCTTTATGATGGTATCTCTGATATACCTTCAAAACAGGAGTCGTTCCCTTTTATTAATTTTTGACTAGAAAAACCAAAAGGAAACCAAACTCACCACCATTAAGTGTAGGGATAACTAGTAGCAAGATGTCTTATGGAAGTTCTGTGAATGAGTGCTATTGAAAGTTTTGTCTTCTCTCTCTCTCTCTCTCTCTCACACGCACACACACAGTTTATGTAAACTTAAGTGTTTAATCAGTACAAGTCAACAATTCATGCATTTCAGTCTGAAACAAGCCTGTACTTGTATAATTTTTTTTCTCAACTATTTAAAATTATATATCATTAAAAAGTAATAAGCAAATTGTGTATCACTGGTTAAATTAATGAAACCATCAACAGAAGTTATCTTATAATGTTCTTTATCATAAAATGATCATGTGGTCTCTAAAGTGAACCAGAAACATATAAATCAGATACATGCATGGATTTTGGGTTCACACTTAATTCTAGCCCTGATCTAAAAACAATCAGTTCTTTTAACATGCCCTGCTTGCTGCTCACCCTCATATAGAGATCACTGAGGATATGGCAGCTTTAGCAAAATGTGGAGAAGAAAACAGATGGCGCCCAGTTATCAGAAAGAATAGTGTTTGGGATCTTAAAGGCTTGTCTTTAAATAAGCCATCATGTGTAAGTGTGGCATCAACGGAGTCCACATGGACGAAGCACACCAGCCTGTATGTTCTGATCCAAGGACTGTAAATAATAAAATCCAAATATGAAGGAGGGAACAGTATCAGCACGTAGAGTCTGAAGACGTGGTTAACAGAAGGCTATAGATGACAATATATGCCCAAAAGCCCCTTGCAGGGATCCCACAAGCCTTCAGTGAATCCCCTTTGCCCATAACTGAGGGTTGTCAATAACCTTGATTTCAGACAGAGAGCACTGTAAAGCTGATTATGGATGAAGTAGTTAGGTTAAAATTTATCACCGTTGATCTTCTTTTGACCCATTCTAAGTTGTTTCTGTTTTTAGTATTTTCGGCTTTCTTTTTGACTGAAGGTTTTCTGTTGAATTTGTTTGCTTGTATGCTTCCTGTCTGTTTTGTATGATTTTCTGTACATGAAATCCAAGACAGCTGGCTATATGTAAAGAGGACAGCAACTGATAATGGCCTAGGGACATGGCAGGGGAGGATAGGGGAAAATGGGCAGCAAGAAATGAGTATGAGAAGAAAATGTTCTGAATGATTGCACAAATCTTAATGTGACTGAATAATCAAATCATATGATATGTGAAGTATATGCCAATAAAACTATTAAAAATAAAAGAGCGATTCGAATAAAGGCCCAATGATGGGCAGAGTATGACTGAAATCCAAATCTTTTCTCACTAATGCAAAAAATATTTTGGGTGTATATAAATGATCTTTTGATGATGGCTAGCGGTGGAGGTTGAGTACACAACAACATAGGCTTTTAAAGATGAGGTATAAGGCCAGGGGCTTGTCCTGCTGCCAGCTATTTGTGCAAAACATAGGATTAGTTCGGTACCTTCAATGATCAGCTTCAGTGTGCAATGCCTTAGAAAAGGCGCATAGTGTAAAGGTCACTATGCCTTAATACACCGTTTTTAAAAAATGGATTTTACTTATAAGCCATATGCTAAGGCTTTCTACACTTACATAGTGCAATCTTTTTATTAAGCTTCATTAGCACTTCATCCACATCATGCAAGTCAATAATTCAATTATATCAAGAAGAGGTGTACAACGGAACTACGGTTCTGGGGGGAAATGGGAGAGGGGAGTTGGGGGGAAAGGAAGTGGTGTTAACGAGTCCAGGGACAAGGGAACAAGTGATCCAAAATTGATGCCGAGGAGGCTGTAGGAGGTCTGGTAGGGTTTCATCAAGGGCAATGTAACTGAGAGGAATTACTGAAACCCTAATAAAGGCTGAGCATGATAGTGGGACATGAGTAAGGTAAAAGGAAATGGAGGAAACAACTAGGAGGCCAAGGGCATTTACAGAGGTCTAAATACAGGCATGTATATATGTAAATATATTTATATGTGAAGATGGGGTAATAGGTCTATGTGCATATATTTATAGGTTTAGTATTAAGGTAGCAGATGGACATTGGGCCTCCACTCAAGTACTCTCTCAATGCAAAAACACTTTGTTCGATTAAACTAGCATTCCATGATGCTCACCTTCCCGACATGATCACTGAAGACAAAACAGGAACATAAGCAAATGTGGTGAAGAAAGCTGATGGTGCCCGGCTATCAAAAGATATAGTGTCTGGGGTCTTAAAGGCTTGAAGATAAATAAGTGGCCATCTAGCTGAGAAGCAACAAAGCCCACCTGGAAGAAGCACACCAGCCTGTGTGATCACGAGGTGTCGATGGGATCAGGTATCAGGCCTCAAAGACCCAGAACAAAAAAATCATATCATTGTGAATGAAGGGGAGGACGGAGTGGAGACCCAAAGCCCATCTGTAGGCAACTGGACATCCCCTTACAGAGGGGTTGCGGGGAGGAGACAAGCCAGTCAGGGTGCAGTGTAGCAACAATGAAACATACAACTTTCCTCTAGTTCTTTAATGCTTTCTCTACACCCCCCCACACTATTATGATCCCAATTCTACCATGCAAATCCGGCTAGACCAGAGGATGTACACTGGTACAGATAGGAATTGGAAACACAGGGAATCCAGGACAGATGAACCCCTCAGGATCAGTGGTGAGAGTGGTGATACCAGGAGGGTTGAGGGAAGGTGGGGGAACTGTATTACAAGTTTCTACATACAATCCCCTCCCTGGGGGATAGACAAGTACATAAAGGGAGATGTTGGACAGAGTAAGACATGACAAAATAATAATATATAAATTATCAAGGGTTTGTGAGGGAGGGGGCCTGGGGAGAGGGGAAAAATGAGGAGCTGATACCAAGGGCTCAAGTAGAAAGAAAATGTTTTGAGATTGATGATGGCAACAAATGTACAAATGTGCTTGACACAATGGATGTATGCATGAATTGTGATGAGTTGTACGAGTCCCCAATAAAATGATTTTTTTTAAAAGAAGAGTTGTACAATTATCACATTCAATTCTAGAACATTTTTTTCTTCCTTGAACTCATTGTTATTCATGTAATTTTTGTTTTCTGCTTGTGGCAAAAATGCATACAACAAAACATTCTCCAATCCCATAACTTCTACATGTATAATTCAGTGCCATTGATGTGCAGTCTTTTCTCATCACAGAGCGACCAAATTGATTAAGAACACACAGCATTGAAGAAGGTTTGGGGATGTTAATAGAGTCAGTGTGGAGTGACAAAAATGGATTTACTATGAAGTCAAGAAGCTTCTGAATCCTAAGCTCTGACACTTACTACTGGGAAGAGAAGACCAAGTCCAGTCCACGTTTACCACATAGCAGTTATTTATTTATTTCCTTAACTAAGTGACTTAAAAATTTGGAGCTTCCAGCTGTACCTGTAAAAGTAAGGTGCTACCACACTACTTAAAAGGTTGTTTATAAAGATGGAAGTATACAGCATAAAGTAAAACCTCCCAATCTGAAAGTATTAGAGCTCAAATTGTGGAAGCCTAAAATCCATGTGTAAGGCCCACACATAGATTAAGCCTCCGGGGAATCTCTTCAGACCACAGTCCAGGGATGTGAACAGCTTTATTATCAGACAGCATTGTAAAGTTGATTGGCAGATATAGCTGGACAAAAATGCAATACCTTATTATTTATAAAACAAATTTATCTCCATTTTAAAGTTGTCTCAGTTAAAAAAAAAATGAAAGGGGCAATGCACATGGACTAAGCTTCCAGGGAATTCCCTCTGCCCATAGATCAGGGATGTGAACAACCTTGCCATCATGCAGAGTATACTGGAAATTAGAATACTGCATATGCAATTAGTTTAAAATTTAACACTTTATCATTTGATCTCCCTTTGAATCATTTTAAGCTTATTTTACTTTTTATCACTTTTTGCTTATTGAGGCTTTTCTGTTTTTGATTTGATATTGTTGCTGTTGTTGTTTTTCTGTATATGAACTATAGAAATGATCCCTGAAAGTATAGTCTTTGTTTTTCTGTATATGAAACCCAGGATAGGTGAATCGAGAACGACAGTAACTGGATTAATGGTAACTTGGGGGTATGGGAGGTTAGGGATAATGGGGAACTAATAAAAACGAGTACAAGAAGGAATGTTCTAAAATTGATTGTGGTGATGATTATACAACTCTTTTTTTAATATGACTATTGAATTGTATATGTGAATTATGTGCCAATAAAGCTGTTGAGAAAACAAGAAAAAAAATCCCTGCTACCACTGTTTCTTTTGACTCATAGTAACTCTATATAGGGTTTGACACTGTAATCTTTATGCAAACAGATCACCTCAGCTTTCTCTGAAGGACCAGTTGGTGGGTTTGAACAGCTAACTTCTGTGGTTACCAGCCAAATACCTAACCCATAATGCCTTCATGGCTCCTGCCCACTGCCATTTACCTGATTTTCCAACCACCGAGACCCAATATAGCAGTGGTTCTCAACCTGTGGGTCGTGACCCCTTTGGGGTCACCCGATTCATAAGAGTAACAAAATTACAGTTATAAAGTAGCAATGAAAATAATTTTATGGTTGGGGGGGGTCACCACAACATGAGAAACTACTAAAGGATCGCAGCATTAGGAAGGTTGAGAACCACTGCAATATAGGATTTCTGATGCTGTAAATCTTTAAGGGATCACATAACCTCATCTTTCTCCTGCAGAGCAGCTGGTAGCTTTCAATCACTGACCTTGCACTTACTATACAGCACCACTGGGCCTCTTTTCGGGGCTCCTTAGTGGTTACGGAGCCCTGGTGGCATAGTGAGTTGCTAACTGCAAAGTCAGTAGTTAGAAACCAGCAGCTACTTCTCATGAGAAAGATGAGGCTTTCTACTCACATAAAGGCTTAGAATCTTGGAGATCTACAGAGGAAGTTCTACTCTGTCCTACAGAGTCACTATGAGTCAAAATCAACTCAATGGCAAGAAGTTTTTTAGTGCCTTCCATATTAGACAGTGTAGATAAAGATGAAAGTACTATATTCAACCCACATTAATTGGATATTAATATTTATTTACCTCCCTGCCATGGCTAAAGTTTCAACCAAACAGTAAGACAGGCCTATAAAGTGATGAAAATCAAAGACTGCAGCCTTAACTATGGATTACTCTTCAATATAAAGAAGAGTAAAATTCTCACAACTTGACCAATAGGAGAAAAGATTGACGTCAAAGATTTTTGTCTTGCTTGGATCCATAATCAAAGCTTATGGAAGTAGTAGTCAAAAGATCAAGACACACTGCATTAGGCCTGCTGCTTAAGACCTCTTTAGAAAACTGAAAAGCAAAGATGTTACTTTTGAGGAATAGGGTGAGTCTGACGCAAGCCAGGGTATTTTCCATTGCCTCATACACATGTGAGAGTTGGATTTTGAATAAAGAAGACAAAAGAAGAATTGATGCATTTTTATTGTGGTGCTGGAAAAAAATATTGAAAGTACTATGGACTCCCAAAAGGACAGACCCATCTGTCTTGGAAGAAGTATGGCCAGAGTGCTCCTTAGAGGCAAGGATGCCAAGACTTTGTCTTACATATTTTGACCATATTGTAAAGGAAGACCAATCTCTGGAAAGGGACATCATGCTTCACAAAGGAAAAGGGACGCGAAAGAGGAAGGCCCTAGACAAGATGGATTGACACAATGACTGCAACAATGGCTTCAGGCATAGAATTGTGAGGATGATACAAGCAGGACTGAGTAGTGTTTAGTTCTGTTGTGTATAGGGTCACATTGAGTGTGGAACCTACTCAATGGCACCTAACAACAACATAAGGTAAAAGGCTGGAGCCCGGGTGCACAATGATTATACTCTGGCCTGCTAACCATAAGGTTAACAGTTCAAGACCACCAGGCATTCCATGTACTCTACTCTCCTGTAAAGAATTAGTCTTAGAAAGCCACACGGGCAGTTCTGCCCTGTCCCATATGGTTGCTATGAATCGGAATTAACTCTATGCCATGGGATTTTTGTTTTTCAGTATAAGGTAAATAATCACAACAGAGATTATTTGGACTAATCAACCAATAGATCAAAAGGGAATCAATTGCCCAAGAATAAGGCTCAGAAGGCAAGAAGGGACAGGAAAGGAGAAATGAAATGAAATGAAATGAGACACCCAGAAAGAAGTGCAGTAAGTACTGCTGCATTATGGGAACTACAGTTTACACCACAAAACAAAATGCATTGTTGAATAGAAAACCCATTTATTCTGTACACAAAATGTTTCAAGAGAATTTTTATATACCTTGTCCCCACTCCAAGGATACTGGTCCACTTCCCGGCATAACTTGGCCCTGAATTCCCCCTTGAAAATAAGAGGATGGGGGGAAGGGAGACCACAGATTAAGACACTGGGTGAGTTTACATATTTGCTCGCTCTGCCCACAAGCAAAGTTTACAAAGATCCTATCATGAAACAATGCAATTACACAGAAGATGGAATTTGCCACTTTACTTTATGCAGTCTCTAGGTGGCACAAATTATGAACACACTTGGCTGCTAACCAAAAGATTGACAGTTTGAGTCTACTGAGAGGCACCTCAGAAGAAAGGCCTGGTGATCTATTTCTAAAAAACTCAGTTCTAATTCTTATACACATGTGGACACCGTGAGCTGGAGTAGACTAGGTAGCAATTGTTTTCCTAATAATTTATGTGTGTCCAAAAAAGTGAATTAGATACGAAAATTTCAATCGTATTCGCTACCAAAACCTTGGCAGGAAGCTCTTCAGCAATACAGGAAAACAATATCCCTTCCTTATCCAGTGGATTTTCATGGGAGGCAGTATTATTCCCAAGGATTTTGAAAATGTGTGAATACAGTTTTGATTATGTGACCAGCACTTCTGATAAGAGTTGCCAAACACAATACTTCATTTTTAGCTTTTGGATTCATGATGGGATTCATGTATGGGTACAAGCCTCTCTTAGTAACGTACATCTTATAAAACACATTAAAAGTTTCTAAATATCTTTTTTCTTCTTTATATTACAATTTTGAGCATTACATTGATTCTTTTAAATCACATTAAATACAACCTGTGAATATCATTTCAGAATAATAATGAGTCATTATAAAGTATGTTATCAAAAGGGGACACTGAGTCTAATAGGTTGCGGACCACTGGTTTACTTTAATGCTTTGGAAACGAATGCACCAGAATTTCTGGTCTAGTCTTTTCCACATTGCCATAATTCTCTTTTCTTCAGAGAGGCAATGTATGCTACAAATGGAGAGAAAAGGCAAGTGCAATTGTTTGCAGTTCATTAATGTTTATAAAAAAGCAAGCACACTTGATATTCCTTTATTCCATTTAAATACCACGCACCAAGAACCTACGGATTGAGAACCCAAAGAACTGGAAGCTAATCTTGGCTCTGCTGCCAAGTAACTGGAATTTTAAACAAGTGATTTGCTACAATTAATATATTCTGAGGCTTCTTCATCTGTGAAATGACAGAATTGGGCCACATCAGTGGTTTCAGAAGAGGAATTTAGCAGAATAAAAATCCTCAGGCACCATGCCAGACCTACTCAATTAGAAACTTTTGGGGTAAGAGTTACGAGCAATCAGTGTTTTAATAGTACTTTTAGTGATACACACTGAAGTTTGGGAGTCGACATGATTCCAAATCTCTCTTCTAGCAATAACATACTACGTTATATCCAGACCATTTACCAACACAATACACATAAAGATTTAGGATCTCAAGACATATGTGGCAGAAAGAGTTATGGGGCATAACTGCTTTTATTATGGGTACTACAATTTGTAAAAAAAAAAAAGCAAGTCAACGATAATAAAATATTCCCACAAACTTTTGGAAACCCTCTTATAATATTACATAATAGAACTGTTCTTTTGATAGCCAGGCACCATCAGCTTTCTTCACCACATTTGCTTATGCACAC